TTAGTAGATTGTGAAAGAATGATTATCAGTTCCACACACAGAGATATATAAATTCTACATTTATTTAAATGAAGAAAAAAAAAAACTTCACTGGTATCGGATCGGTATTGGCCAATACTGAACCCTAGGTATCGGAATCAGAGGTGAAAAAGGCAGATCGGAGCATCCCTATGCCTAGCTTGTCAGTGAACTACGGCTCTGTGTATTAAATGCCGCTCCATCTGAACGCAGGTGATGGCAATTTACTACCAATCACGGAACCGGCTTTACTGACGAGATGCACATGACAATCGCATGCGATTAATTGCACAGCCCTAGAATTAGTTGCCACCTGCTCTGTCTATTTCGGTTTTTAAGTCTAGACTTAAAATGCATCTTTATTCTATGGCCTTTCCTGATTTTTTATTTATGGAATAGTATTGTTATCTTGGATTTTAATTTGTATTTTATTTTATACTTTACTGTATTTTATGATTGTTTTGTACAGCACTTTGGTCAGTGTAAGCTGAAATTAAATGTGCTCTATAAATAAAATGTACTTACTTAGATCACTGCACAGCACAGAAGCTGCACTGTTGAAGGTTAGCAATGACCTTTTGTAAGTTCTCGATACTGGTTCATATGCGGTGCTTGTTTTGTTGGATTTAAGTGTGGCATTCGATACAATTGATCATAGTATTCTGTTACATTGGTTGGAAAAGTTGGTGGGTATTCAGGGTGTCGCTCTGCAGTGGTTGGCCTCTTATCTCAAACACAGAACCTTCTCAGTGAGCATTGGGAAGTTTTCTTCTTCGTCGGCTCCTTTGTCATGCGGTGTGCCCCAAGGGTCCATTTTAGGCCCTCTTCATTTTTCACTTTACATTCTTCCCTTGGGTGCCATTTTTAAGAAATATAAGATTTCATACCACTGCTATGCTGACGATACACAGTTCTATCATCCAGCATAAACTGACAGCAGTGATTCTTTGGATGTGCTCTACGACTGTTTTGAGGAGATCAAATGTTGGATGGCTAATAACTTTTTGCAATTAAACGAAAGCAAAAGCGAAATTCTGATTTTAGGCCACTCTAGGACTTCATCTGTTTTTAATTTAGGGTCTCTCTCTGCCAGTATTGAACCCTATATAAGAAATCTTGGGGTTACATTTGATTCGTTACTCAACTTTGAGAAACAGATTAGCACAGTGGTAAAGGGCAGCTTCTTCCATCTGAGATCAATTGCTAAACTCAAACAGTTTTTGCCCCACAAAGATCTGGAGACTGTAATCCATGCTTTCATAACATCACGCCTGGATTACTGTAATTCCCTTTACTGTGGCCTGCCTCAAACTGCGATTTCTCGTCTGCAAATTGTCCAAAATGCTGCAGCAAGGCTTCTTACTGGAACAAAAAAGAGGGATCACATTACTCCCAATTTTAGCGTGTTTACATTGGCTTCCTGTAAAGTTTAGAATTGATTTTAAAATAGCTGTCTTTGTGTACAAGGCTTTATCTGGTCTTGCACCAAAATACATCGTTTATTTTCAACTTTACAGAAAATTAAGTTTCTACAATATATTTAGTAGTAGCTTATCAGTGGTGACTGTCAGTTAATGTACATATGGAAGAAATGTACGGAAAAATCTATTAAAGACGGGTTGGCATCATCTGAGGTCCTCTGAGGGGTTGGCATCATCTCTTCTCATGTGTTCTGGATCCAGACTGAAGCTTGTGTAAATCCTAGTTACCACGGGATGTCAATCCCAGCAGAAACAGAGAAACAAATAGAGACATAATTAGCGCAGCTGCTGTTCCAACCAAGCAAAATTGATTTGTTTAACCCAAGCTAAAGAATAATAATGTGCATTTGATCAGATATAACTGCAGTACAAGATTATGAGATGCATTATT